CGCCATCTACTGAGTAAAGATAGTGCTCTAACCTCTTTGCTGTAAGACTCTAACTTTGCTTTGTACAATCAACCTCATCCTAGAAGCTTATAAATACTTAACTGAATATCCTACCAAGTTTAGAAAAATTACGATAAAATGGATTGAGTATTTGATTGAGGCAAAACACACTAGGGCTATCTTTCTAAGGGAAGGAACGCATCCTTTGAGATTGCTCTAAGGAACCGATTTATTGGAAGAAATAGCTTAGCAGACATTCTGCCAAGGAAATCTCTAAGATGGAACGGTAGTGAGTGATAAACTAAACGATAATAATACCAGTCAGGAATGATGATACTAAAGTGAACATATTAAGATTTGATCATGCAAAATTCGACAACTCATTGCCGACTTTGTGAATTGATGAAAACGTTTTTTAGACTATCCTTTTTGCTCTTAAGTTTAAACAATGCATTTTGTAAGATACAAGAAACTTGAGAAAATTAAGATCTATGAAACCGATAGTTACATCTTTACAGCTAGTGTGCAAATAAAAGTGCAGATGGCAGGAAAACACTGATAAGCGCATAAATCCATGTATACTCAAACACGTATGTGGTGTGTGCAGGAGCAGCTTAATTTCTTTCGAGGCGTGTGTACCCGAAAATAAGCTAAACCCACAGCAACTCCATCTTTAGAATTAGATATTTAAATTATTAAGGGTTACGCGATACATTAAAAATATAAAACATATTCAAATCTTTCTGTAATGTTTTTCGCTATACTTCTCGCGAAGTACATAGCGATCTATTTTCGCTTAGAAAACATCACATAATTGCGGAGAGTCGCCTTCGCGCAAACCTCGGCAACAGTGGCTATTTATGAAACTCATTTCATTCTCCTGTAATAATTGTTTCCTACACTAGTTACAGCTTAAAAAGCTACTTTTTTTTCCTTTTCATCATTAAGGATTTAAAATCATAACATGTCGAAAAGAGAAAAACCTCTTTGTGCAAGCGCTTTAGGAAATGATTTTTAAACAATGTGAAATAACATTGAATAGCCAAAGCTTTTCATTTTTTATTAATTTAGTCAAGTTTTAAGGAAACCCTTTTGATATGTATTTCAGTTTGGATATTAAATAATGCTTAGGGGACACAATTAAACTCCAAAACATTTTCTGGGTTATAAATTCCCAGTTGCTGGTATGCAATTTCAAAACTTCTTATCTCAGATTTTCTTAGTTATAAACCCTTGGCGAGCGTTATCAGTCTCATTTTTAGGGATGCTTAATTTTTTGGCTTCAATTCAAATATTTTTTTCCATGGCTGTTTTTATATTATGGTTTGTAAGCACATTAGATTTTAAGGTACAGTGCTCTTTCACACTAAATTTATTCAAGAATTAAACTCACGTCATAAGGTCTCACATTTAACATTCAATTCTAAGATTTCCCGGAAGAAACCATCATATCTCTTTTGTTATGGAATAGAAATTGTCAAGCTGTTTTCTTGGAAATATTTGTGCACTAATTTGATACTTAAGAGCAAGAAGGCTTACTTTCGTCATCAGCTTATTTTGACCGTACGTAAGAAATATATCTTTGGATTAATTCAGGAGACAAAAAAGAAATAAAATCAGACCCTTTAAAAATTTATGATTACGGACACTTACTTGAAAAACATGGATGTTGTTCTAAGAGGTTAGAATAACACATTCAATTAAATAGTAACCAACAGGAAAGTAGGCGCCTGAGGAAAAATGTATTCATTCACATATTTTATTTGAAAACGCTTTAAACTTTTGTGAAGAATTTTTAATTTAAAGATACTGATCCATATTAAAGTAAATAAAACCATCACTAAAACTATTTCAGCATCTATTTAACACAATGAAAACACGTATGTAATATAATGGGAAACGTACTTTGCATATATTGAAACAAATCAATCATAAAAGCATTCATGTATATAAAATTCTGCTCATATTAAAACAAAGGAAAACATTATAATATTTAATGTAATATCTTTTTGCATTAACAACGTTTTGAAGACATTTAGACATTGAGTTTATCAAATTAAGCATAGTTCTTTGTTAAGTTTTTCTTATCCTTGTACTAAATGACTTAAGGGCATTTTCATTTGGTATTCAGAACTTCTAAAGTTTGTTTTTATTTCTTCCTAAATGTGTTCCATTAGGTTACAACTTATTGACTGTGGCGGAATTTACAGATATAAAATAATATGTGATATGTTATACAACCAGCTACTCGTTCAGTGTTTGAACTTTGCGTTTGGAATCACGGTTTTGTTGAAAGTAAAAACTTCTAGAAAGATTTAATTTTGCATATTTTGTTTCAAACTCGTTTTTAAAATGTTCAAATAACCATATTGATGGAAAACACCATTAATTTGGCTAATGCTTCTAGCATCGCTTCCCACTTGAAGTCGATTACCATCCACACCATTATAATTCTACCTTTGTGTTTTACAACTTGCTTATATACTTGCACGTTTTCTTTCTCCGTGGCTTCACCAGCTTTCCTTCCACTAACTTTCATCCAGCTAACAGCCGAAAAGTAAGTTTACTTTCACTAGAAAAATCAATTGTTGCTAAAATAAATTTACGTTCGTTAATAAATTCCTTTGAAAAATCCAATTTTCTCTGTCTGTTAGATTTACTTAGGAATGGTTATCATCCAGATGTTTTTTTTAAATCGTAATTCTAATCGTCATAAAACTTTTCTCGTAGCTTTCCAAAATTCTAACGATACTGAGATATCCTGTCAGAAGTGTTATCATCGATCCGAACTGACTAAATGTTTCACCTAAACTAAACTTACACAAAGGCAAAAATTTAAATTTTAGGAAATCTTTATTTATTCTCTCCTGTGAGTTACTAAAGAGAGAATTTACAACTAAAAGGTCTATATTATTCCTTGGTAATAAATTTTGAATACTTTAGACGACCTGCTTTGAAATTTATAGCTGTCAAAGTCAAATTGTCTCACATAAGGTGCTCACTTAGTTTTACCCTCAGGTAATCACTATGGAGTATGTTACCTGCCTCGAAATGCAACGGGAATTTATGTGACCTCTTGTCAGTTACCTACTCTTTCAAAAACATACGAGTTACAATTAATCTTCACCAACCGTTAAACTCTCTTTCATGAGCTATTAAAATGCAAAAGTTTCTGGTCAGAATTGATTAAATTCCACGTAAAAAGAGAAACATAGGGCAGAGTTTCAATTAAGCTTAATATTAAGTAAAAGTGAATGTTACAAAATTGTTATTTCATACAGAATTTTTTCCTTTCCCAGCCACTAATATTAACGATAGTTCATGCAAACATTTAGCCATGCTATGCTCTGTTATAAGATATTATTTTAGGGTTTTTATAAGTTGCAGATATTTCATTCTTCAAGTACTCAAGCAGTGCCAGTGATTCTCATCAAGCACTTTTCAGCTTTATTCGTTAGATAAAATAATTTATTAGATATTTCAAATTTTTGAAAACTTTAACCTTGTGCTTTCAGATATAAAGATGAAACATTCTGTTGACTTTTTCGATTGCTGCTATAGATGAATGACATAAAGGTCTGTGTTTGCTTAGCTTGTGAAAAAGAGAATAATTCTTTAGTTATTAAGGTCTTTATCTTTCTTCTAAAACTAAGTTATAAGCACTTTAGTTCATTATCCTCGGAAATATTTTCTTTAGCGCTCTTAAATTCACTCTGTCTTTTTTTATTGCAGCAGTAAGATAATAAATAAAATAAATATATATATAATAAGATATAAATGATATAAAGATATAAAATGTCTCTTTTTGTTTATCTTGTAGGAAAAAAATAAGATGTTTTTAGATGTATTGTAATCATCTTAGTTTATAATAGTAGATAGTTTCTTCACGTATAAGAATATAGTAAAAAATGTCTTAAAAACAACTTCTTCAGTGGCCCGTATTACAATCTTAATAAAAAGAGTTGGTTGCACAGTTATTTTTGTGATTTTACCTGTGTACAAGCCAGATTCCCTTGTAATAACCTACAAGAAGTTAGCCCATCAGCGGCCGAGCAGATCTCCCTTAGAAAGTCCTCCACGAAGGTATCTATGCAATTAGGCAGATAGCCCTCGAAACTTTGCATCACATAAATCAAACATACACAAAGTCATCTCACCTTTGTGGCAGATAGATCTCGTGCGCGTTCTCGTATTATATTAAACAAATATTTTTAATGATTAAGATTTTTTACCAAGCTGATTTTCTGTGGAAAAAAAACCTAGAAATGTCACAAAGCTATTTATATTTTTCGTATCACAAATGCAAGGCTTAATACTTCCGAGCAGAAAACATATTCAGGTACTTATGTATTATCACAACCAAAGTGATGCAGTCTGGCGAATTTTACGAAATAAAAGCAATTACTTTTATTGTAAAAACTATCTATTACATTCAAAGATGCACGCTTATTATACACAAATATTCTAAGTTTCAAGTACACATTTATTCTAAACGACAATCAGTAAACTTGTTTAAAACTTTATTTTTTCTATTGTGGTTGAAATTTTGTCGCAATGGCTTTGGCAAAGAACTCGAAGCATTGTTCCTTTAGCAATTTTGCGACAAAATCACATATTCCTTCAGAAATTTCGCCTTTTCTGTTTCTATTATCAAAACATCCTATACGTATAAATTTTAAAATCAAGTTTAAGACAAAAAATAATCACAGTTTTTTATAAAAGCCGTTGGAACTCGAAATACAACAGAAAGAGCGCATACGTAAACGGCGACGTTGTAAACTGAATATTTTTCATGCACATGATTGCCTGAATAATTGTTACGCGAGCGTGATCAATAGAGTTTCGTCTAGTGTTTTGCCGATTTCTGCTAAGGTGGCTGCGATAGTACGTAAGTACCTACATTCATATCCCTCCTCCGTCGTGGTAAAAATTTTCTAAACATAAAAAATATACCTCTTAAGTTAATTATTTCAATAAAACAATTTATTGAAAATACTCACTTTAAAATCTAGAGCGTCCAGTGGTCCATAAAGTGACAGAGTTTCAAAAACCCTGAACACTGTTAATTCGACCTGTGTTCGAAATCTGGAAAACTCATGTTTATCGTGAATACAAGCCAGCTTCCTCATTTCTTCACGGATCTTCCTTTCTCGTAGCCAGATAGCTCTCGCATGCTTTGCCATAATCTAAATAATCCACATCAGATCTGGAAACAGAAATGCTTTCGTTAACAATAAAAATAACGTGTTTAATGTAATAATAATCAATAGACAACGTTAGGGAATGTATATTTCTATAGAAAACTCTTTTGCGTGTTCTTCTTTTACGAAAACGATCGCATTTTTTTAGCATAAATATCTTTTGATGTTTCGCAAGTTTCGTTTAAAAATTAATGTACGGTACTTTTCAATTAACGGGGAGCCTTTTTTCCCAAATGCAAATGTCTGATTGTAATCTAAGAGTGAAAACTTTAACGATATATACAGCTTCTTGAAAAGAATGGTTATTTTATTAAATCCAAACCAAATAGGGGAGGAGAAGCAAGTACAGAACTTCAAAAATAAGAACGCGTGTATTTGTTCCGACTGACAATTGTGAAGTGATTCACTTCAAACTGCTGCTGACAGAATTCTATCAGTGTGAGCTCTTGACAGCAAAATAGACAGAATAACTGTCAGAAAATGGAATACTCGAAACTTCTAACCAGCATCACTTCTATAAACCCTTTTTTCTCGCAGAACGATATTTCAATGCTATTTGAGAGATAAAATAAACACGTTAGCCCCTTTAGAGTTTTGGCGAATTATCATAATTCGCGCTTCGTAAACTGAAAAGTAGCTAATGTATTATTAATATTAATGATTAATAAATCTGTAATCCTACACGAAAGCTGACCATAAATCCCTGTGAGGTAAGTAAAATGCATTTAAATGTTTTTAATCGGAAAGTACTGCAAATTCTTGAAAAATACCTGGCATGTATTAGACTAGAAATCTTATAACATAACTAGCGGGCAAGCTATATAAGCGGGCTACGGCCAAAGCAAAATTTATAAGATCTATGCATACCTGAAAATAAAATGTATATAATCACTTATGTATGAATCAAATCAGTTCTATATACACACCTGAAAAAAGTTTTTAATATGACTGAAATAAGTTCTATACTCTTTCAGCTTCATCTTGTCTTGCCTCACTTCAGTTTATCCTAGTCTTGCAAAAATCTTAAACTGTTTCAGCTTTATGTTGGCTTGGCTAGCTTCTCGTTTTTAAAAAAACATCATAAACAACATCATTGTCAAAAAACAATGAAAATGTAGCAGAAGAATAAACGGTCCACGCTATTTCATAAAAAAAATCTTACTCTGCCTCTGTTTAGTAAAGAGGGATGGCGATTTTAAAATTCAACCTCGCACGCGCTTTGATGCAGAACGCCAAACAACAATGACGTTCAGCGAAACCAGAAACTTGCAGGCTGCGATAATTTGCATTTTCCGAGTTTTTGATTAATACGGTACTAATTAAAAATTAAAGTCGTACTAAAATGAAAATGGTCGAAGTGGCTTCCCAGGACGTTTTGGCATCCAAAGCTACCTATCTCTCCTGAATCTCAACTCTCGCCGTTCCACAGGAGATGATGTTATTACAAATAAACAGACAGACCTGCGCTGATTTTAATAATATTAATTACCGGGCTGCGTCCAAAGCACAATTTTTAAGTTCTATGTACACCTGAAAAGAAAATGTATAAAAGCATTTTAATATGAATGAAATCGGTTCATTCTTTCCAAGCAACAACCAATTTGTAAATAATTTTATTCTTTCCAAACCAGGAAACAAAACTTTTTGAAACTTCGGATACGTATATGACGTCATGAATACTGATAAACAAAAACCTTTCGGCATCATGGACCTTATAAGAGATAGACTAACCCAGTGGGCGGGGCGCGCGTCATCGACATGTCGGCAAGAAAGAGTAGGGACGATCTGGTTTACTTTAACACTGAAACCGATGGCGTTTGTATCACATAACTCTTTTTAATTATTAAATGTGATACGTTGTATAGTGATGAGATTATGAAAGCCGCAGTTTTTTCCAAATAGGATTTAATATATCTCATTAAAGCCCTTTTTACTGCATTTCGCGCATTTTTTTCACGCGTAATTCTTGCACAAACATCTTTACTTTGGTAAAACGATAAAAACTCTAAGCACAAAATTTATGAACTTAATTTTGCGTAAAAATAAAGTAAAATTAAATAAGATTGACAGTACGCGATGCTTTGAAATAAATAAGGTAAAATTAAACAAGATCTGATAATTTTTTTTTTAATTTAATGAACATTTTCAGGCAGTGATTTTCCAAACTATAATAACATTACAAAACGATCATATTTATTTGATTATATGATTATTAAATTATTAACATTAAAGTGCATTAGTTATTTTAATAATTCATAAAATTCGGAGCATAAAATTTTCTGAGCGTAATGAAGGAAAAAAAAAGATAAAATAAATCTAGAAGCACTCTTTTTTTTTTAAAGTTTTGTGTGTTTACCTATATTTATTGAATATCGTGTTCTTCGCCCGTAAACCACATACATTTGAAAACAGCATATCTTTAGATTTTCCGCACTGGAGATAAAAACTGTTATTTTCTGTGCAGCGTTACCATCTGAACTGTTGCTTTGTTAACAAAAAATTCGTTTAAAGTTTTACAAAACATGAAATAGATTAAAACCAAATTCGAAATCGGCCGTCCAGATGCCCATGTTCGGATGGAGGATTACGTTATTCAAAGTTTGAAAGCTCTAGATACCGTGATTTTTGTCACAGTGCGAGAAACATACATGTATTCATGCAGATTCATCATTATTTATTTTCTCTAAATATAATACAGGGCGATAATGTTTGGTAACAGCAATTTGCAAGGAGAAACATTTAAAGTGAAACCGCAAAATGCAGCTTCGAAACTAACAGCCTTTCTAGGCTACCGCCCCTTTGGGCTAATAAATTAAATTAACAGTAAATAAAAAAAAATCTTATGCAGAACTAAAAAAAATAATTAAAAAAAATATTCACTATAAAATACAAGCAAAATTAATTATTACGGTTAAATACAATTTTAATATTAGAATTAAATGTATAAAAATTTTTAAGGACTCAAAAAGTGTTTACTACTATGATATATTATGAAATATAATTGAAACAAAATTCCTTTATGGAAATTGTGCTATAATACTCATCTATAATTTAAAAAAAGCAGCACAATTTATAATTTTAAACGAAACTTTCAAAAATTCGTTTTTAAATATTTTAGTATTTTTTACTTATTTACACCAATAAAAAGCATAAAAATTGCAAGAGAAAATTGCTTGTTTGAAATTTTCTATTAGTTCAGAGCCCACCAGCGGCCGAGCGGAAAAAACGCTGAACACTGGTAGGTCAGTCTGAGGTTTGAATCCCGCGAACGGGCTGGCTGCATGGGCGTTTTCGTGGTCTTCCCCATGTGTAACGTGTATACGAGCCAGTTTTCCTTAGAAAGTCCTCCACGAAGGCATCCCGCCCTTTAAGCAGATAGCCCTCGTGTGCTTTGCTATAATTGAATAATCCAATCCAATCCTATTAGTTGGCCCACCAGCGGCAGAGCGGTAAAAGCCGCTGAACACTGGTAGTTCGTTCCGGGGTTCGAGTCCCGGCGAACGGGCTGGCTGTATGGGCGTTTTCGTGGTTTTCCCCTTGTGTAACGTGGATACGAGCCAGTTTCCCTTAAAAAGACCTCCACGGGGCATCCCTCCCTTTCCGTGTAGTGCCTAAGGGCGGAGCACGTAATAAATAAATAAAAAATAAATCCTATTAGTTCAGATTTAAAACATTATTTTCTAAAAGAAGTAGTTACAAATTTCCTTACAGCATAGGAAAAGCTAAAAAAAAATATCCGGTCCTGAAAGCATGCAATAGCTTTATAATTATTTGGAATGTTAATTATGCTTGATAAATATGCGAAAATTTTTTAAAAATCAATCTCATTTCAAAAAAAAAATATGTAAAATTCTAATTTGTGAAATGAGGCGCTACAAACCACGCTTTTTCTTGACAATTATACAGGCTGCAATAGGCAACCAATGTGAAATTTCTGCAAGTCGTCTCTACTCCTCCTGATGTGATCAAGGTGACAGCCGGCAACGCCTCAGACGAGGGAGAAAACCCGTTTGGGTTAGTCTATTTCTTATAAGGTCCATGTTCGGCATACAGTGACGACTCAAGCAATCCTGTGCTTTCTTCAACGTCAAAATATGACCTTGACTTTTATCTCCAGCGAGCTATGAAATATAGATCGGCGTTACCAAACTTATTCTCCTTGAAATTACGTTGCAGTTTCTATATTTTAAAAGTAAAAATGCATGTTTGTTACTGCAACGTTGTAATTAAGCAAAACTTTCATTGCTATTATTTATTTCCTGTTAATGTTTATTTATTCTTCCAGAATTCGTTTATTTATGTTTTACAGTTTTTTTATATATTACGATTTATTTTCAGAACTCAATTGGGTCACTTAAAACTATGAAAATGGTTCCTGGGTGACCCGCGTGTGACAGGTTATCGAAACCTCTATTAGATTTTCACTGTACATGACAAACTGGAACTGGAAACTGGTTGCCAGTATATGAATACAGTTTCAGAATCTTTTTTAAAATTTTTTTTATCTTAAAGCTCGCTGCTATTTACAACGTAGAATGGGCGAAATATCATATGCTGACCCAAATCGAATTTTTAGTTGTGAGTTGAGTCGGGAAAGGAGTGTGGTAATTTTTATGCAGCCATCGGCATCGAAATAATTCCCTTTGAGGTAACACATTTATTGTAATATATTTTCTATTTATATGAATGAAAACTATACACATAACTTTGTTCTAAACAAATATTTTTTAACCGTTGGTCCTCAAGTCTTACACACGTCTCCGGGTTTCCACCTACCGCGAAACCTTTTGAGTTTTCTTCTTAAAGAAATAAGCAGGCGTTTAATATAAGTCAACAAACATTCCAAGTTTAATCGAATACTGAAATGGAATAAATTAAAAGCATTTAATCGTTTAGCATGATCTAGGAAAACGAACGACAGTATAAAAATCAATATATAACTTAAATGCGTTAACGAGAAAAAAAATTAATTTTAAAAGTTCGAAATTCTAGTGCAGTTTTTCTT